GTGTGTGCGCGCGCGCGCGTTTCAGTGGGGTTGGTCGTTAAGGTGCGGAAGAGGTGAGTGTGGTGGATTAGTAATAAACACCCTTTTTTGACTTGTGGTGAAATTAGACGAGAGAGCTGTGTGGTAGTGTAATGGACACCTTGTTTTGATTTTTTTCCCATATTCATCAAACCGAGAATTTCCTAATAATTACGTTTCTGCGCTTTTACGACATGGTCATGATATGGTTTGTGCTTTCTGAATGAACTCTTTCGGCCGTATAATATTAGCGGTAGAATTTGAAAATTCAAATTATGATTGCTTAACTTCTCATAGAGGTCATATCTTCAGTCTACTACTGAGCGACATTTATATAATATTATTGTTATGAAGATTCAATGTATGAATTATTTATGATCCAAACGAAGTATTACCACGCCAACACACACACGCACTAACACACACACACACACACACACACACACACACACACACACTCTCTCACTCACACACACACACACACACATACCCACAAATACACACACAAACACAAACACATACTCACGCTGACACATATACGCACACATCACAGGCTCACAAGGAACAGATTTTTAAACCAACAGCCAGTTTACTTAAGTAGAGACTTTTAATCGTTAAATGTAAAAAAATATATTTTATTATACCAATGTCTTTGATGTTTTGTATTTGGATGCAAGAATTAGACTTAACGACGATATTGTAACATACAAAACCAATGGTAATAATACACCGTCAATCAATTTCATACTAAAAGTAGGTACAACTATGTCTGTATATCACGTAATACCTTTGCTTTAAAATGTAATTTCGAGAACAATGTGGTTCGCTTATTTGTTAAGTGTCCATAGCTTAGATACTAAGATAAGATTACTCATTCAGTCTGCAAAGATGCTTATTATCATAAAAAAGACACTCTTTGTTAATGTTCAGGATATTGTACAAGATTTTAAAAGAATTTACTTTCCCTTTTGACACTTTTTTGCGCTGACTTTTTCAGGGTATGCGGCAGGTAAGTGTGAACACCCCCTAACGCCTTCTCTCAATATCACTTACGAACCTGCAATTTAGAAATACAAGTCTGGGGGGGGGGGGAGATGACAAAGGAACAGCCAGGTACAAACGATTAATACTTGTTGCAATACTCTCACAACTTGCCCCGAATCTAATTACCCCCGCTTTCAAAGTCAGTATCATATTATGACTATTTTTTGTGTCCTTCTTTATATTCTGTTATAATTGACTTTACATTCATTTAATACATTTCACACGTAAACGTCTTTCTCGGTGTAATATAACAATAATTATGATTCTTCCCTATGTTCGTGACTTTGACAACCATTTCTATGATTTTACAATGATTATTGAAGCAAGCTGGAACATGAACTACATGTAATTACACTTGATCATGGGATTAAGGCTAGATTAATAGTACTCTCGAGCTTCGCGATGTAGTAGTGAATGAAGCGTGTTGATGATAATGTTGTCATCAAACCACGTTAGTGAAACCAACTTCTCTATGTTGGAAGGTGTTTGTAATGGCAGTGTCTGTAGAAAAGTCTAAGCCTGTCCCCTCAACATGGTGTCCTAAGGATTCTGGTGGCGACACAATTAATTATCTCATCTAGGATTTGCCTCTGGAATCTTAATTCGCTGGCTTGTCATACTTAGCTAACGTTGTTTTGATCCCGAGCAAAACCCACATTTACTCTGACATTGTCCAGTTCTTACGATTAGTGACAGCATCCGACGACGCGGAAGGAGGGCTGATGGCCCTACACTATACCGAATCTTCGAGAACGTCTTCCGCAGTTACAAAAGCTGCGGCGCAGATTCGTTCAGCTGGTAATACGCTGGGCTTCAGTAAGAGGGGGAAGATCATCATGGTTTTGATCCCTAATAGGAGAATTCGATAATTTGGGTTGTTGTCGGAGTTTTTTTTAAACCCCATTGGCCAAATGCTCCATTCTACGCTGAGCCATGCGCTACTCCAGCTATTATTTTTGTAATTTAAATGTCTTTAGTATTAGAGGCCGAACAATCGAATCTGGTCTTATATTAATATTATATTTAAACAGGACTACGGTCCAGTTACTTTGATGATACCGGAATCCCCTCCCCCCTCTGTTTCGTTCTGTCTATTTATCTATCTATCTATCTATCTATCTATCTATCTATCTATCTATCTATCTATCTATCTATCTATCTATCTATCTATCTATCTTTTTCGATTCACATCAGAGAGTTTTACATGTTACTATTACCACTCTATAGTCATAGTCAGTGCAGGCAGCACCTACCTCACTAATGATTATTCACACACACACGCACAAATGCAACACGTATGCAGTAATTTGCCGGTGTGTGCGTTACTTTTTCATACCAGGCGTACTTGTAATATCACGGAAACCAGGGGAGATTTTCAACACTGCATGCTTTGTCGCTAACAACTCCTGCCCTCTTCACCCTCGTCCCTTTCAACCCCCTCCTCCACCCCTCTCCCCTTTTACGCCTCTTGTCCTTCTCAACTCTG